ATTCTACTTAATGATGTATACAGGGTTTTTCACGTAATCCGTTCATTAAAAGTTTTTAAACTTCCAGTTACAATAGAAATTTGGCATTTAGACAATGTCTGGGTTCAATTCAGTCTTTTTAAATGAAATATTTTCAAGTGTGGTACATCTCCGTTAATTTAAATGGAATAAGTACCCCATTTTTTATATTATTTACCGATTCAAGGAATTGTTTTGAGTAACTTCCACATCCATGCCTGGAAAATAGATGATGATATTTAGATTGTATTAGTCAAGAATATGTAGAATTAAATTCTGCGTCGATTATGCAGGTTTCCGATACTTATGTTCAACGATTTAGGAGATAATTGCGATTATTTATAAAAGAGGAACTTCCGTTAATTTGCATCAATTTTTAAGGCATGGATGTGGTGATAGAAGTTACTCAAAATAACTCCTAGAATTGATAAATGATATAAAAAATGGGATATTCCATTTAAAATAACGGAGATGACTTCACTTCCGGCGAAACCGGAAGTACCCCACACTTGAAAATATTTAATTTAAAAATAATGAATTGAACCTAGATAGCTTTCAAAATTTCAAATTTCTATGTACTTAACTGGAAGTTTAAAACTTTTAATGAACGCGGGATACGTGAAAAATCCTTTATACATACTGGCCTTATTATACTTTATAATGTCCTGCGAAAACTCGAACTTGTACAGAATTCAAAATGTTTCGTGTTTCATGAAAAAATAATCATGCCATTTATTCTTCATTCAGGAAAATTTTTGGCCTATTCAACTAACTCTACAAAAACGTCAGACTAGAGGCTTGTTTTGGTTCTGCCAGTCTTAGAATAGTTCAAAATAGTTACCCAAGTATATTGTCAGTATGTTTTGGCTTAGATGTTCTTATGAATGGAATGGTCAACTGATTTGAACTGTCCTAGAACCGTTATGTGTCGGAACCAAAACAAAGCTAATATAGGTAAAGGTATAGACTACTGCTGGAGAACCAGACAAATATTGGGTAAAATATAATTGGTACAACTTATTAAAATACATATAAGCAACTAAAAAACTATGACGTATTGCTATTTTCTATCTACTCAATTGAATGAGTATCTGTAGATTTAACAAATATTCAAATTCTCAAATACTGAGTCGTTCAAATAGTTCTCAGAAATTAATCCAGTGGAACCAAATAATTATGATATTTGTAAACATAGTCCTTTAGATGGCATGCTGTTAAATTTTGGATGAATGCATTTATATATTTGTGCTGATCGAGTAAAGCAAAACAAAAGAAAATTTATAAAATTGAAGTTCGAGCTACAGGACTACAGCCAGAATGAAACTTCAACAATTTAAAAGTGACGGAGGTAAGGCTAGTTAATAAAAGTTTTGGTTCCGGCACTGCACCACGAATATCAATTTTACTAACTTCTTAAAAAATATAAAAATATATTTACAATACTACACTTTACTATTTGCTATAAACAGGCAACTAAACGCACTGACCGTATCTGAAAAATCTAAATAAAGATCATATTTGACAAATACCATAGTCATGTGGTCATACTTTTCGAATGACCCTCGTATCTAAACTAAGTTAAACATAACAGTAGATGGGTAGGTAAATGCAAATAAATTCGATAAAGAATAAATTTTCAACAATTTCACTGAAGTGACGTCTCCTATAGGCATCAAATTTAAGGTTCAACCGCCACATTATTTGCACAGGACTGCGGCAAAGCAATGAGTGATTCACAATAGTTTCAAAATATGTAATCCCTTGAGAAATCACTTTATAGGGAGTATCTAGAAAAGTTTTCCATGCGGAAGATTAACATCCTATAAATAGGCCAGTATCCGGTATTAAAAAAATCGAGTCTACATTTTGAATATTACCTATTTCAATGTTTATATATCCAGGTTAATATTCTAGTTTTTACAACAAAAGAGAAAAAAGAATAATTTTCAAGTTTAAAATTTAGAGAGTCCACATATAAACATACAAACTTTGATCAAATCAAGTCATTTTAGTTTTCAGACGAAAGCACATTTTATATCTTGTGTTATACACAAGATTATACTGCATCAGATTTCCGGGGTGAAAATTTTAAATTTTTTAAATGTTTTTCTTTATAATGAAACTTACTAATTATTTGTATTTCTCTGAATAACTTATTCCAAAATACACTCCAGTTGTGTAGTTATTGGGGGAGTAGGGGACCTTTTTTGAAAAAAAAAACGTACGCCATTGGTTTTTCGTAAAATTTACTGGTCTTTAAATAATTAGCAAATCAAATAAATAAGAAGATACTTAAGTACCTATGTTGCTATTTGTCATCTTTTATTGATTGCTAAATATGTAACAATAAATTCAATACCTAATATTTTTGAGAGATTTCAAAACACTATAGGTACAATGCCACTGTTTTGTGTGTTGCAAAAAGTTTGTTATTTTTCATACAACTAAAAACAGTTTTTTAATAAAAAAAAATATGGTATTCAATTCATTTCAACTGTAAAATACCAGTACCGTAGGTGGCAAGTTGTTGCTAGAAAACAGTCGTAATTTTGAAACTGTTACACATTTTTGTCGCGTTTCTCTATTAGTTATGGTCCGTGATACTACTATTGAATTAGCAGATATACACTTTACATACGGTAGACCAAATGTCAATGCCAGCCAAGCTGAACGACTTTATAGACAGGCTTTTCCAAATCCACGTTGTCCGACAACGAAATACTTTTTCAAGCGTTCACCGTCGAGCTCGTGATACTGCATGATTGTCGCTACCAAAACGTCGAGCAAGAGAAGGACCTGTTCGTACAGTTCATTTGGAAGACAGAATTTTGGAATCTGTAGATGAAGACCCATCTACCGGTACCAGACAGATATCAACAGATTTAGGTATATCACATGTAACAATCTGGAACGTCTTACGTGAGCAGCAATTACGCCCATATCATGTCTAGCGAGTTCATGCATTAAATGAAAATGACTGTAAACCGAGGATTAAATTTTGTCAGTAGTTTTTATAACAATGCGAACAGCCTTATTTTCAATTATTAATATTATTTACCGATGAAGCGAAATTCACACATTTCGAATTGTCATATTAATCATAATAACCACCAATGGGCGGATGAAAATCCGCATCTTATTTCCTCAACGTCGATTCCAAGTACCGTTTTCCTAAATATTTGGGCAGGCATTGTGGGCGATTACTTAATTCGTCCCTACTTTTTACCCAGAACCCTCGATGGTAGAATTTATCAAAGGTTCCTACAAGAAGAATTACCACCACTTCTAGAAGAATTGTCATTGAGGTTACGTCAATTATTGTGATATATGCATAATGGGGCGCCACCTCATTACAGCCTTACGATTAGGCAGTTGCTGAATAATAAGTATCCTATTGGTAGAGGAGGATCCATTGCTTGACCGGCTCGTTTCCCCGACATTAATCCCTTGGATAACTTTTTTTGGGGCTACCTTAAAACTATGGTATATCGTACTCCAGTTCCCAATGTAGAAGTACTTCCCAGCGCATTGTAGAGGATTTCGCAACCATACATAATACGGCTGGAGTTATGGGGCGTGTAAGACGATCATTGCATCCCAAGGACAGCATTTTGAACATTTCTTGTGATGTTGTATAGTGTTTTGAAATCTCTCAAATATTAGGTATTGAATTTATTGTTACACATTTAGCAATCAATAGAAAATGGTAAATAGCAACGTAGGTACTTAAGTATATTCTTATTTGATTTCCCAATTATCTAAAGACCAGTAAATTTTACGAATACTTCACAAGAGTACTTTATTGCCAGAAATTGACTGTACATTTTAAACACATTTAAAATTATTTAAAACAACAGTTGCGTACGATTTTTATTTATTTATTTTTTTTCAAAAAATGTCCCCTACTCCCCGAATAACTACGCCACTGGAGTGTATTTTGGAATAAGTTATCCATGGAAAAAATAGTCCCTAATAAAAAAATGTCATCCCCCAAATTGTATCACTCAATCTTTTATGCCAGTGAAGTTACAGGAAAAATAATACAAATATTTGAAACATTTAACACCCTGTATCTCCGTAGGGAAGCGTCCTATCAAAAACTTTTATACGGCAAACCTTGATTATTTCCACTGGTAGAATACGCCATTAAAGTTTGGCAATACTTATCATTAACACCCTGTAGGTATAAATATGTCAATAGCGTAAAATCGGGAGTTACAAAAATTATTATTGGTGCAAAAATTTTACATTTTTTTGCATATACAATTTTTACTGAAATGATATTTTGAACTTTTGTTCATATGTTAATATTATATTTAAAGTCGTATTTTTTTAAAACAAAATTATATCAACATATTTTAATAAACGTGTAATTACAGAATTGTTTTAAATATATTTAAGTGCTTGGTAGTGTGTAAGTGTAACTAAGTACTCAATAACTAGATTAGTATTTTTTCAAATAAAATGTAAAAGGCAAAATTATATTACTATTTCCTCTAGATAACTGTATCAATAACAATTTACGAAAAATCTAGCGGCGCCGAATTTCTGGGAGATTATTTTCTATTGGTTAATAAATTTATACTCCAATTCATCAAATTTATATCTTTAATTGTACTTATTATACTACTTTAATTAACCTAAATCAGAGATATTTTCCAAACTTCAACATCCTTCTTTCTCGAAAATTAAGTGATAGCTAATACCTACTTATTTAAAGAACTTTTTCTTATTGACTACAAAAACTTCCTGTAGAAAAAGAATATAGTACCTATAGTATGTACGACATTTGTTGAGATTGAATTTCAAGACCTCTGCATCACTTTCTTGAAATTAACCACATTCTACACCCGAGGTAGAAAGATATTGGCGGAAAATTTCAAGGCACGGTAAATTGTTCCGATAATTTTCTTGCAATTCTATATCAACAAATTTGTACTGACTGTACCTGATCTGGAATTAATACTAATTATTTGTTTTAGGATAAAACAAGTCAGTTTGATGGAAAAGTAGCCTTAATTACTGGTGCCGCCTCAGGGATTGGTGCAGCCACTGCCAAACTTTTCGCCGAACGTGGCGCTTCCTTAGCTTTAACCGATAGAAATTTAGACAAATTGAAAGAAGTCGCTTGTGATATATCGGGTAAAACCAACCCGCTCTTAATATCCGGTGAATTGACAAATGACGAAGATATTAAAAGTATCATGTGCCAAACTATAGAACATTTTGGCAAACTAGACATATTAGTCAATAATGCAGGCATACTTGAATCAAACTCTATAGAAACGCTTGATTTAGAGCAGTATGACAGGATAATGAACATAAATACCAGGTCCATGTACCATTTAACAGCGCTAGCAGTGCCCCATTTAATAAAAACGAAAGGAAATATTGTGAATTTGGGTAGCGTCACTGGACTTAGAGCATTTCCAGGAGTTGTAGCTTACTGCATGTCCAAAGCAGCAGTTGTCCAATTTACTAGATGTGCAGCTTTGGATTTAGCATCAAAACAAGTCAGAGTTAATAGCGTTAACCCCGGTATGATTATGACCAACCTCCACAAAAGCGGAGGCATGACAGAAGAGCAATACGCGGAATTCGTCAAAAAATCTTATGAGACTCATGCTATGGGTAGACCTGGTCAGCCAGAAGAAATTGCACGAGGTATTGCATTCTTAGCTAGTGATGAAGCTAGCTTTATTACTGGGGTTGCGCTTTCCATAGATGGAGGAAAGCATGCTATGTGTCCAAGATAAATGGCGTTATAAAGTATAATACAAAATAATTTCTTAAAGCGGTTCATCTGTACATAAATAAAGTATTCCATAGTACCTACCTACATATTAATTTCGGGAAAAATAACAATTTTACAATATTAAACAATTTTAAAATAAATTTAACATTAATACCTAAAATGATTTTTGCTGAAAAAAGAAATTTCATAATTATCTGTTCCCATTTGCATATTATTAGTACCTACTATTTTTTTTATAAATAGTGCTTCTATAAATTATAATTTAATATCGTAGTCAAAACAGCAGGACACAAAGGGCAAAGGCTCAAAGGCTCACAAAGGGATCAAAGACAATTATGTCAATATGTGTATATTGAAAATTATGGTAATCTTTCTATACAGGGTGTCCCATTAATATTGCGAAAAAAATCAAGGGGAGTTTCCTTGACCAAAATTAAGAAAGAAAGTTCCTATAAACCTATGTCCTAAAATGCTTTCGGAGATACAGGGTGTTGAAATTTAGAGAAAATAAAAGGTTTTACTAATATCTGGAGAACCCTAATTCTGATTTTTTTGAAATTTTGTATGTTTGTTTATAAAAACGGTAAACGTCTTCTGACGTAATTTGAATTATTTTATCTATTCCAGCGGTGTCCGAGGACTCACTCCTGTTGATTAATGAATGAATAATGAACATATGAGACGTCACTGCTTTTTCTTAGGTGTCATATGTTTTTCTAATTATGCCATAAAAAATACTTTTTTGTCTCTTTACTTTTTTTGATATTTATTTTGATAAGTACTTGAACTGTGTAGTTGTCAATTTCTGCTTGTCAAAATGAATTACACAAATAGTGAAATGTGCGATATGCATTTTCTTTATGGCCTTGCCAACGGTAATGCATTAGCTGCCCGGCGCCTCTATGAGCAGAAATACCCTAATCGTATAATTCCTCATCGTACTATCTTCACCCGTCTTTATCAACGTCTTAGTGAAACGTACCGCAGGAAACGGACGACCCCGCGCAGCAATAACCCTACAATTGGAGGAAGATGTACTTCATGAAATTGAGAACACTCCAACAACAAGTACCTACCAGATAGATTCCTAGAAACTTAAATGCAAGTCGTTCTAGAATTTTCAGGATTTTAAAAAATAATCTTCTATACCCTTATCACATTCAACGGGTTCAGGCACTTTTACCGACTGATTTTCCGTTAAGATTAAATTTATATCTATGGATACGACAAAAAATTGGGGTAAATCCTAAATTTTTAGCAGAAGTACTATTCACGGATGAGGCGAATTTTTCTAGTAAAGCCATAATGAACTTCCATAATAATCATGTATGGGCGGACGAGACCCAAATGCAATATTAGAAGGCCGTCATCAACACCAGTTTGTTCACTTAATGTATGGGTCGGAATTGGGAGACCACTTAATAGGCCCAAATTTTTTACCACCAAGGCTTACTGGAGATGTTTATAGCCGTTTTCTTGAGGATGAATTGCCCGTACTTTTGGAAGACATCCCATTGTCATTAACGTTGCAAATGTATGTTATGCACGATGGTGATCCATCCCATTTCAGTTTAGTTGTACGTGGATATTTGAACAATATCTACCCAAATCGCTGGATATGTCGAGGAGGCACACAACCCTGGCCCCCATGCAAGGTCTCCCGACTTAAATTCATTGGATTTTTTCCTTTGGGGTCACCTCAAACATTTGGTTTATACAACTCCAGTGCACAACATAGACGAATTAAGAAACCGCATTGTCGCAACCTGTGAAACAATTAGACACAGCCGGAATATTTGAACTAGTGCTGGCAACTGAAATCGGTTTTTTGGATAGTCGGTTAACCGGTTTCGAATAATTCGGATTTTTATGAAATCCGAAAACCGGTTATTCGGTTATTCGATTCTTCAAATATCCGAAAACCGGTTATTCGGTTATTCGAATCTTCAAATATCCGATTATTCGATGATCTACTTCCTTTTCTTTAGACATCGATTTGTCCGATTGCAATTGACCGACTTCCAGATTTTTGTAAAGACTTTGTATTTTTCTTTTTTAGACAATTTCTCCGGGTCTGTCTTTGTAAAGTACCGATTTTCAGGTATCCGGTTTTGGCGATTCAAGTAACGGGTTATTCGAATAACCGGTTTTAGCAACTATTCGACTAACCGGTTTTATCTGAAATCAGTTTTTACGGAACCCGGTTAACCGGTTTCACTTTTTTCCGGTTTTTGCCAGCACTAATTTAAATGGGTTCGCCAATCAGTGTGTCGTAGGATAGATGCCTGTATTAGAGTTGAAGGTACACATTTTCAACAACTGTTGTAACGCCTGTGTATGTAAAGTATTTTTCATATCATTGCTGTTTGTTAAATATTTTTTCTTATGTTTCTGTTAATATTAATTATTTAAAAAAATATTATTTAGTGAGTTATTGTTTCTCAGCTTATTACATTGTTTTCCTTCAAATGTATTGTTAAAGTTGATTAGTAAATAACTAAAACATTGAATTTCTATTTTTGTTTTCTACTTCCCTTAAGAATGTGCATATGAAAAGATATTATTTTTTTGCTCGAAAGCGAAGCAAGATATCAAAAAAAAGTAAAGAAACAAAAAAGTTGTATTCTTAATCGCATAATTAGAAAAAAATATGACACCTAAGAAAAAACAGTGACGTCTCATATGTTTACTTATTAAAATCAACAGGAGTGAATTCCTGGACGCCGCTGGAATAGATAAAGTAAATCAAATTACGTCTACCATTTTTATAAACAAATATACCAAATTTCAAAAAAAATCGGAATTAGGGTTATCCAGATATTAGTAAAAGCCTTGTATTTGCTCTAAATTTCAACACCCCGTATTTCCGAAACGAAGCATTTTTGGACATAGGTTTATAGGAACTTTTTTTCTTATTTTTGATCAAGGAAACTCCCCCTGAATTTTTTCGCAATATTAATAGGACGCCCTGTATATCTTGGCCTAACGTTGATCGGACGTAAGGAGGTTGCGTGGAGGCATCACCTGAACGTCTATACTAGTCCTGGGACGTTCAGACATAAAATGATCATCCTGTGGACGTTTAGTGCTATAATGGTTTACAAATTTAATTTTTTTGAACATAATAGGCTAATGTTAATGGTTATTATATATAATGTAATAGAACCATTACTTACGTAAGGAGGACCATTCCCTTAGGAAAATATGTACCTATGTGCTCAAATACAATAAAACAATAAATGTTGAAACATATTTAGGATACAAAGTTTTGACTAAAATTACAGGATACACGTACCTAACCTTTTAAATTTTGAAAACGTTTATTTATAATACCGGGGTCGGCATAAGTCAGGCAACCAATTTGCATTAAGAGAAAAAAATGCAGCCTCAAAATATATTTATTATTAAAAGAAATTACAAAAGGGATTCGAAAAAGGGTTACTGTAAGTGTTCAAATTGATGCCCATCTTGATCAATGCATGTACGGCAACGTTTCTCAACGGAGAGGCAGGTCCGGCGAAGCATGTCAAGCTGTCCGCGAAGAGTTTCAAATTCTTCTTCAATTGCAGTTCGGAGATCGGGAAGGGTGCGTGGTCCTCTTGCGAAAACGCGGTCCTTGAGAAGACCCCACAGGAAAAAATCACAGGGTGTCAGGTCACATGACCGTGCGGGCCACTCAACGAATCCTCGTCATTAAAGTACTCCCGCACACATAACGCGTAGTGCGGCGAAGCTCCATCCTGCATGAAATGACGAATGTTTGCGAGTGTTGGATCGTTGTTCATTTGTCCACGTAAATCTTTCTAAACCGTTTTTAAGAATTTCTGGTACGTCTTCCACACTGTTGTACGATGTGGTAGCGGCGAGTTCGGAAATTGTTGTTGAAATTCGGTAAACATAGTTTCGTAATCCGCGTTCGTACGCAGATACGAGGTTAACAAAAAAAACTCTTTCTTGAAGCGTGAAGTTGTATCGGTTATTCATTCTGAAAACGCGTCTACTTCGACGAGCACGTGTTATCATATTCATGACACAAACACAACTGTCTGAAGTAGAGATGCCGAAAAAGTATCAATTCGTTACATGAGTACTCGTTACTCGATTGGATCCGAAGTAACGAATATTCGTTTGGAAAAGTATTCGTTACTTTTACTTATTTGATTATTTCTTGGACATAGACAATACAGATAGTACTTTATCTAATGGAATATGAATACTTACTTATGCAATGCTCACTTGACACTTGTTCATATTATATCGACACGAAACGAGTATTTATATTGTCACTGCATTCAATTTTATTTGTTTTGTGTACCATATTTTTATACCTACTTCTATTAGAAAAAATCTTTCCTATAAAAGTCTAAAAATATGCATAAGACTGTGTATATAATACATAATCTAATTAATAAATAATATATAGTTTCTATTTTAAAACTGATTGTTTATTTTCAAAATATATATTTATATTCGTAATCTGATCGTTGCATTATAATTATTTTTTTTATCAAACAAACCTTATTTCAGATATTAACACTGCATTTATTTTTTAAGAGAAATTGAGATTAGATTATATTCATAACATGATGCGGTTTGATATTTACTCATCTATAACTTACAATACTGTAATTCAAAATAAATCAATTAGGTAATTACTGATTACTATTCTATTTAGAATATTATGAAGCCACTACTCATAGTAATCAAAGTAACGAATACAAAGTACCGATTACTTAAACCGAAAGTAATCGGTACTCATGATTACTCAAAAGTAATCATATTTGACATCTCTAGTCTGAAGCACGAACATGCTTCGTTTTAATCTTTTTCGACAGCGTTGCCAGACTTATGAGCGTTGTCGGACTTATGCCGATTTTTCGAGAGCGTTGCCTGACTTATGCCGACCCCTGTATTAAAATATAAGCAATGTTTTTACTATAAATTTATGTTTTCCATGGAAATTTTAGAATTACCTAACCTGGTAATATTGGCGTAACATTA